AACAGCCTCCATATATTTGTACAGCCCCAATAAAGGTGACTACAGTTCAACCATAATTTTAAGAAATCAAACAATTGTTTGCATTTTCTAACCAAAATAATGTGTCTGTCGCAGTATAACTTTGCAAATTTCTCCAATGCGGACTACGTCAAAACGGGAAAAACTTCTCTGAAGTTCCAGTTAATCAATCAGCGGGCAGATTTCTCCTTTGTATTGTTCACAGGCGGGTTGTCAAATGTCAGTTAATCAACTTATCTCTATACTTAATCATCTTCTCTCCTTTTTTCCGTTTTCGCTCCCACCCCAAATCACTACTTTTGGTTTCCATTAATCATGTTAAAGTTCTTATCATATATGTAGTTGAATTCTAGATGAATTTGTTATAAAGCAAATATGCAAACAGAAATAAAACTTCCATACAACTTAGCATTCAAATTCCACCATGCATATCTGCATACTGATACCATAGATGATACCTGCAAACGCATTAGCTGCCCAAATGTTTGCTAGTCTTCTGTATTTTCGTCATGTTTCCTCAATACAGTATATTTGTTGCAGCCAAAGCTGGTAGGAGTTTCAAATTACATATCATTTGCAAATCCAAAAGCACCACTTTATCCGCGGCTTGCTTTGGGGAAATTATGGAATGAAGTAAGTTGGTGCTAATCTCCAGTATTATGTTGTCTAATGTTAAGGAAGGCACTTTGTCCTTGCAATATATACACTAGCTATGTCACCATGAAGTAAATCTTCAGTTTCTTTTAAGGTGCAACGAATTTCAAATGAATCTCATTCATCTCTTCTCCTTCCTTAGATGACATTGACCTGGACAAGCGGCTATAATTTACTTGAAGCTGTTCCTTTCATTGATTGGGGTCGAAAGGGTGATCCTCAACATCGCTCACCAGCAGGAACATTGACATTTGATAGAAATACAATGTGTGGTATGTTACAATTTTTTAGTTTGAAGTTATGTTTCAAATTTAGAAAGTGGGGGAAGAACAATAAGTATCATACCTACAAATGATTTATGGATGACGATCCATAGTTAGCTTTAGCAGCAGGTGCTTCCCTGTTCTGTAATAATCATTTGCAAAAGCTCTCAAGTTAGATAAAGAGACTCTTCTATTTTCTACCTGCAGCTTCAACCTGTTTTAAACATATTTAAGCATGCACAAAAAACTACACTCCTTTTTAAAGTAAACTACACACTATTTGGAGTTTGAGTTTTATCATTTGTGCATATCCATAAAAAAACTACACTCCTTTTTAAAGTAAACTGCACACTATTTGGGAGTTCGAGTTTTATCATTTGGGCATATGCACTTCCACTTTCTAACACTAGAACTAGCATAGAGCGCTGTCCCATATTCCTCTTATTGACTAATGCTGCATGTGGTCATGGCCTATATATAAGACAGACTGTTGGTGTCTAGTCCATCTTCTGTAAAGGATGTCTACAAAGGTTCTCAGTGAACGTTAGACTTCAGAATTTCAATAAAACTTTGAAGGGTTAGAAATCATGATATTTAAGCTTAATTGACGAGGAGAATCAAGTCCTGCAATCATTGGATAAAGTTTTGTCCAATTAAACCAGCTGCTCTTTCATTATATCTTACTCCATCATTTGCGAGCCAATGAGATATATCAGCATGAAGTAATACTTCTCTTATGTATGCTTCAGGTTCACCTGCTCGAACAGTTGGCTGGCGTGATCCAGGGTTCATACACACTAGCTTCATGAAGGATCTGTGGCCAAGCACCTTGTAAGTTTGTTGTACAAATTGTATTGCGTCAGGAATAAAACTTTTACTTGATATCAGTTCATGTATATTTGTGTTCGATGAAATGATAAATACATCAGGTACACATACAAGATGGGTCATATGTTGTCAAATGGTTCCTACGTGTGGAGTAAGATGTATTCCTTTAGATCATCACCATATCCAGGACAAGACTCATTGCAGCGTGTCATAATTTTTGGAGACATGGGAAAGGTAACTTCAGTTGCCAATTACTGAAAGTTTGATAATCCATTCTCTGCTCTTTCTCGATATAGTATCAAAACTAACAGCATGTTTTCTTGTAAAAATGAATTTATAATAGTAAGTAAATCACTCTCGATATCCCAGAAGTGTCGTTTAAAGTGTTATATTGGGAGGACTAGTCTGATATCCATTCAACTATCATTCTTCCTACTCTGGATATGAAAATTCAGCTCATTACATTCTCATATTAGCAAAAGTTGGACTTTTGGTCCTAAACAGCTTGATTCCACAGATTAATGTGAAAGAATGTTTTCTAGGCATAGATTTTAAGCATCGTTTCAATAGTAACTCTTATACCAGGTTTGTACCAAATTTCTCTGCAGCACTCACTAAGTGCATTGTAATTTAAGTTTAAGATGTATGTGAGTAGTTTTTCGAGCCAACAAACTTTTCATTTACTACCACATATTTGAACAACGATCTCTTCATTTATAATCATATTTCCCTTAGAATGTGTTTGATCGGATAAACTACCAACTCTATGCTTGTGTTACCACTGATCCTATAAGAATGTAAAGCCACTTCATGTGGCATCAGTCATTTACCTTTGAATAGAAATTAACTGTTATACTTTATATTGATGGCCAAAGGCTAAGCTTGGTTTTTCTTCTTTGTTGAGCACTTAATGCCAATCTGGAAATTTGCTTGTAGGATTACCTCTCACTGACATAAGCTGAATGTAGCGGTAATCTCTTATGGTTCCCCTATGCTGAGGCTCTGTCCATTCTAGAGTAACTTTGTGCATTTTACAAAAGCATCACCTACCATTTACCAACTTGAAGAAGTGTGCTTCATTTACGGTCTGGTGAATATCAGTAGACCCTTTTGGTGGATTATTCTTGTAGTTGTTCGTTTGAGCAGAAGACCTGGATTCACTCACAGAATCTTTTGTTTTTGTCGTGTTCCTTACCTTACTCCAATCAATTTTTTTGTCAATACTTAAATCACAAAACTAAACTGCATAGTGATTTTCAGGCTGAGCGGGATGGTTCAAATGAGTATAGTAATTATCAGCCAGGCTCACTGAATACAACGGACCAACTCATCAATGACCTTAAAAACATTGACATAGTTTTCCATATAGGAGATATTACCTATGCCAATGGATACATATCACAATGGGACCAATTTACTGCACAAGTGGAACCTATTGCATCAACCGTACCATATATGATTGCAAGGTTCGCACCCTTAACAATGTTGTCTGTGATTAAGCTTCAATCTTGGCTTTTCTCTGTTTATTCTTCTATGATTTTCATGCAGTGGTAATCATGAGCGTGATTGGCCTGGAACTGGTTCCTTCTATGATGTTATGGACTCTGGTGGAGAATGTGGAGTGCTAGCTCAGACCATGTTTTATGTTCCTGCTGATAATAGAGCTAACTTTTGGTAATAAACTATTCTGCCTCCTTTGTTATATGTGACATGAAGGTTTAGAGAATTATCTGTTTAGTTAGAGTGCCCTCTCTCCCTCTCCCAACACCCCTCTCCCCCCCAATCCCACCCCCATCACGTTCAGTTGTGATAAGTACAAAATGGGTGCGTAACTTTTCTGTATTGGGCAAAAGAGGGGGCTTTCAGGATTGTTCAAGTGCTTATACTGAAATAATCAAACAGATCAAGTTTATACACTGAAACAATCCAACAGATCAAGGTCCTTTTGTTCTCTTTTTAGTGCAAGGAGCAGTTTGTTAATGATGCAGAATCAATTCTTAGCCTCTTAGAGTCCCTCTAAGATTAGAAAGTGGTTCCTTTTTTGGTTTTTGCTCCACCTGTAATTACTTCAGCACTTCCTAAGTGCTGTTTTTATAATACGATTACCTTCCTCTCAGAAAAAGAAAGTTCAAGTGCTTGTGCTGAAGAGTAGTTTGTTCATGTGCACATTTTCTAGTCATTTCATGATTCAGAGGTCTTGCTTGGTTTTAATTTGTCCAGTCTCTGTAGTGAATGAAATGAGTTGATTGTTTTTAAAGTCATTTTGCACTTTTCACATATTTGAAATACTTTAGAAGCTATAGACGAATATGTTGAAGTTTGGTTCTTAAAAAACAAATTAAGAAATTATTTTGGGATGGTGGAAGCGAGAATGAGCAATTTACATTCCAAACGATAGCTTATTTTCATTCTCTGTTCATTGCAACTGAGTCTTATATATTAGGAATGTCCTTCAGCAAATATTATAGAGCACCCTCATCCTCAAGAAAATATGGAACACCCTCTTTGGTAGCTTCTTACATTTTGATATGACCTTGTGTATCACAACTGCAGGTATTCAACAAATTATGGCATGTTTCACTTTTGCATAGCAGACAGTGAGCATGATTGGAGAGAGGGGTCTGAGCAATACAGATTTATTGAACATTGTCTTGCTTCAGTAGACAGACAGAAGCAGCCTTGGCTGATATTTGCTGCTCATCGGGTTCTTGGTTACTCTTCAGACAAATGGTATGGCTTGGAAGGCTCATTTGAGGAGCCAATGGGAAGGGAAAGCTTGCAGAAGCTTTGGCAGAAGTATAAAGTGGATATTGCATTTTATGGTCATGTCCATAACTATGAAAGAACTTGTCCCATTTATCAGGTAAGCAGTGCTACTTCTTTTCAATGTTGAATCATGCAATTCTTTTCTGAAGTCATAGAACTCAGTACTAGAAATAACATCCATTCTCATTGTTTTTTCACTTTTCTATGATGCAGAACCGATGTGTGAACTCGGAAAGATCACACTATTCTGGTATTGTCAATGGAACAATCCATGTTGTTGTGGGTGGCGGAGGGAGCCACTTATCAGAATTCACCCCAATTAATACCACTTGGAGTCTTTACAGGGATTACGATTGGGGATTCGTCAAGCTTACAGCATTTAATCATTCATCACTACTTTTTGAATACAAAAAGAGTAGGGACGGGAAAGTTTATGATTCTTTCACTATCTCAAGAGACTATAAAGACGTCTTAGCTTGTGTTCACGATGGTTGTGAGCCAACAACTTTTGCATCTTGAATCAAACTGTAAACGTATACTAGGGAAAAGAATTCAGCTACAGAATTTGTTGGAATTGGTTCCAACAAATACAAGAAGCCATAATGTACACTATCTTTGGATTTAGCAAATCTATTTTCACTACTGGCAGAACACAGTTTTCCAGCTCTGATGTGATGCTCTAAAATCTATCCCAAAATCAGAAATTAGACGCAGCTATCTCACTTAAGATTGATAATCTCCTTCCCAGGGGAAAAAAAACGAAAAGATAATTGAAGCTGTTCACAAAGAAACAACAGCAAATTCCAAAAACTTCTGGAGCAGACTAATTATGCAAAAGAACAAAGGAAAGCCATGTGCATTTCTTTTGTATCCACTGATGTTACCTTCAACACTGCCTTACCAAAATTTCAACCCTGTTTGAACAATATTACGTCAATGATTAATTGTTGGACACCGGAGCAAAAGTTCAGCTGTGGGCCTGCATTCAGAAGCTAAGGATTTTCAGAGCCCATTTATCTTCTTCATGTAAAGGTTTAGCGTTCCCAAATTATGAATAAAGGGTAGACAAGATGAGGAGAAAAGCAGTGAAAGCCCCTTGTTGGATGAAGCCAAAACGTATTCTTTCGCACCATTATCCTCATCTTACATGACACAAAAATGTTACTTTCATGGTGTAGGTTAGAATGATTATATGCCCATCACTCAGTTTAATTTCATAACCATGCAAGTTTATATGGTTAGTTCAAAAAGCGTTTCCTGCACATTGCACCTTTAACCAGCCATCTCTGCATCTTGAGTTGAATTTCCATCTTCAACATACGAACTGATTGATGCAAAAAGATGCTCAATTCTCAGAGGAGAATACCGAGCTGCGTGCTGGAACAAGACCTGACAAACAAAACCAGGTTACTGTGTCAAATAAAATATATCAATGATAACAAGGACTTCATTTGTGAAACGAATTCCATTTAAACAGTGGAGACACATCACAAAGCAAATCATGTGATGACCTGACAAATCACAAGAATAATTTGCATGGAGGATGTTCATGACAAATGCAGAGTACATCAACACCAGATTTGAGATATTGAAATTTTAAACTAGTAACTAAATTAGCAATTCCTACAAAGGGCGTGGAATCCGAATCCACCATCTAACCTTCGAGTAACTATCAGCAAAAGCACGTGCACGATTGGATTTGCCCAGGTATTTCAGATCAGCCTTCTCCAGTTTACTGTCAACAACAACTACTCCTCCTTCACCTATAGCAAATTTTATAAGATCTCCACAGTGAAGTTCTGTCTGAAGACCATGAGAACAGATTTAGTAATGGATAAGTCAAGACATGACACAGAATAAAAGAAAAAATAAAAGTGGAGAGACAATAAGAGTTGTAATGAATTACACTCCCCTGGTACCAAAAGACGGAGGCATTTACTTCCTCTTCCAATTTCAGAGGATTGAGAAAGCTGATTAGGAGGGCCTTTCCTTACAGCTCCTCTATCCTTCCTCCTTTAAATTGCAATTTAATAAAGTGCAAAATAATAATATGATCAAACCTTTTGCATGAATTCACCAAGTAAGCAACCAAATATGACAGGAGGGTCATCAGATGTAGCCAGTCTGCCATCATCCAGGAGCTCCAAAACTACCTGGTTGTACAACAAAAGAAATACATTAAGCCCTGGTTACAAAGATCTCACTTTTATTTCTAATTTAACGTTGGCTTTCTTAGAAGACATTGGGAGAAAAGATTAGCAAAAAGGCAAATGAGTCGTTTAGTTGTTTTACCCCGGGGTTAGCAATCCTGGGATTGTTATCCCACAGAGAGACCAGAGTGGTTTAAAAATAATACAACAAATTTGGTATAAGCAATCCCAAATTACTGATCTCACAATAATAAATTTTACCAAACATGGGATAAAATAATCCCAAAATGCTAATATGTTATCCCACAAACCAAAACGACCCCTAAGAAATGTAACACAAACTACACATTGTACTTTCAAACACTGTAAAAAGGGAGAGTTTTTTTTTTTTTTTCGAGGAACAAAAAAGGGAGAGCTTTATTTGCCTTAGAAAGTACAAAACCAACTTTTTTCGTATACATATCAAGAATGGTCTTGTCCTCATTGGAGAAGCAGCTCCAATTGGATTCTTCAACTTAAGGTTTGGGTATTCAACACTTCTAATTTGTACAATTCATTTGTATTCCAATTGGTTTGCATTTGTTTCGGTTTGAGTTGGAAGTTGGTTCGTAGCTGGGATTTGGTTAATAGGGACGCGAATAGCATGTGATTTCTGGATGTTAGTATAACATGTTACATCCGAAAGTTAGTTTTACAATCTTTGCATGACCTTATGATGATATGCCTGATATTATCTGTTGGCACCCATGCTACAAGAAGTCTAAATGGTGCACTTGGTTGAATGTTGAGTTATTTTTTTAAAATTATTTTTTAATTTAAATTGGGCAAGGCCCATATATTCATAAAATAATGCTGAGTTATTTACCTAGAGGTCTAGAGATTAATTCTCGTTTAAAAGCATTTTTTCCTTCCTTTATTAGTGGTGCACCCATATTCTAGAAATCTTAGATTCGCCTCTAAATAACAGCTTTCAAAATCAAAAAAGTACATAGTGTAATGTACCTGTTGTTGACTTTGAACTTGTCCTTTATTGTCTGTATCAATGACATACTGACTACAATGTTCATCCTTCCAAACCAATGATAGAGGTGTATTTCCTGTTTGATATTGTGCATGCCTGAGCAGGATGGACAAATTAAGATTATGATCAAATGAAAGAAGAAAAAATCACCTGGAGATTTCCTAAGGCCATGAGGTACAGAAACTTAAAAGTTTTGATTATTGATGGTGCTTGAGAAACTACAACAAAACTAGACAATTTAACACTAGGACAGCATACACCATCTAGAGTGCCATGGTCCAACTCCAATGCATGATCTATAACTTTCCCAAATCATGTGAGTGTTGAATTCTAGTTCCATGATTGGTAACATTGTCACTGTAGCCATTAAAATGAACAGTGCAGAGAAGGAAAAAGGCAGGATAAACCTACAGGTGAATTCAGAAAAGGACCAGGCCGTTCACAAGCAACTTCTAAATGCCATCCATACGCAACGTATCTGAGTAGTGCACAATATAAGTTAGAACTAAATGGTGGAATAGGCTTGATTTTGAAAGGTTATAAGATAAGTGGAGCTGGTTAAGTTGCTGAGAAAGCACATAATTCTAAGGACCTGACCCGTGTTACCTAACACCTCAACTAGCTATTCATTCCAATGAATGCACATATATGCAAACAAATTGCTTATCATACGGCGGATGCAGCAATCAAGATTTCAGAAACTTAAGTTGTAACAGCTCCGTCTCAACTAGGTTTAAAGGTTTTAGAAAGCCTGCCCATCCAAGACTAACTCTGAAAAAAAGGACAACTTGTCTTCTCATGTATAACACTTGAAACATCACACCAAGCACTATCCATTATGTGAAAAACTTTAACGGTCAAAGGAAGTAAGGACAAGTCAAAAGCAAATCTTACTTACTGAGTTACCTCCTTATATGCTTGCCTCCCCACCCGCCACCCCCACCCCTTTTTTTATCAGTGAAATAGATGAAGAAGATGAGCTAATAACTTCAGGAGCAAATCATGTTCATAGTTTGTATTAAATTGCCTTCTACTAAACAAATGAGAGATAAACAGCAAAAAAGATCTTACTTGTTGTAAAACAGTAATCCATCCTTGACATATGGAACTTGTCCTGCATAAGCTGTCTGTAGGCCTTCTTTGTCACAGTTGTAGACAGGAAGAGCACTAAATTTATATTTATGATAAGTTGAGGGAACATCACAAGCCCCCGTCTCAGCAAGCTTGCTGTTTAACCAAAAGAATCTGAATTCGGCAGTGCACTCATATAATGAAATTCCCGCCCAACAAACACCGTCAATGACATAATAAGTCTCATCAGACTGCCACAACAAAGGCAGTGCAGAATATTTCAGTTATACAGAACAAAATATGAGCAACAATGCTACATGTTTCAATTGTTACCTCGTGAAATATGCAATCAAGAATACAGTATGATTGAGCAGCTTTACTGTTATTAGTCCTGGCACCATTGGGTAGAGCAGAAGGAAAACGGTGCAAGAGAACTCCATTGCGCAGTCTACTGATTGTTGTTCCATTTGAAGAAACAACAAAACATCGTTTTCCAGCAGGCCTAGCAAATACATACCTGCACATCAAATTCAACCTAAGATTAATAATATGCTTGATTGTGTTTGTTTAGTTTGAATCAAGCAAGACATCCACAGCAAATATACAGTTCCGACTACTTGTCCGACAAATAAGTGAAGTTTTTGTGGTAGGCTAAGATGCAGATAACCATGGCATCAAAGTAGAATAAACTAAGTATGAAGTATTTTCTAGTTGAAGCAAAAAGCATTCAATTTTGACCTAATTCTACAAAAGTTGAACCTAGAATACAAAGTTGAAAAGCCATTATGACCTCAATCTCTGTAAATGTTGAACATCAAACATTCAACAAGCATCAAAATTTGGAGACTTTTTAAGTGAAATTAGAATTTAATGTACAATATCAAAACTAAATAAATAGAGAAAATTGAATATATATAAATGTGGAAATGTTATTGAAAAGTCACCAATCGGTATTCAATTTATCGGGAACATCAATCATCCACTCGGGAAGCATAAGCTGCTTGGCAAACCATAACCGAGCATCAGGTCCTCTCAGCTTGGTAGCTTGACGAAGATCATGTGCGTCCTTATGATGTCCATAATCGTCGTCGACTTCTTCGGGACAGGATTCAAGTTCGTCGGTAACTTGTATGTCGACCTGCTGTTCTTGGGAAGAGGATTGAAGAGAGAGGACAGTGGAAGCTAAACGACGGGCTTGTAGCTGAGCGTCGTGGCGGTTTTGTGACTGGCGGAGCAATGAAAGTTCTCGGCGTCTTTGTTGGTCGGAGATCGCCGGGCGTTTGAACGGACGGCGTATGTCGTGTGAACTCATCCTCTATGACGCGAAGTTTGGCAATGGAACTTTGCAGCGATTCCTCTTCTATTCCATAAATCGCTATTTTTCAAAATACCAATCACCAAATTACTCCGTGCTAATTACTACTATGTCCTTTATGTGTCTAAAAGTAATAGTGATATCAAACATCAGAATGATAAATGGACCTGTTAGGCCCAAACGACTCTAATTTCATATCAGGTTCCCACTTTCAATGCTTCAATTTTTATTATATTTACATTTTAACCAATTCTCTAAATTGCTCCAACTCAAATACAGGCCTCAAAACTTGGGATACCCCTCCCTTCAATCTTTGTATTGCACAAGTGGATCCAAAGTTTTAAGTATCACTTTTGAAAATTTAATAGTTTTGCTCATACTTTTATTAAAAGTTTATACATTTTTAATTATGAACTCAATTATTATCATAATGAAGTTATTATAGAAATCTAATAAAGTTCAAATTTTAAATTTGCTCTTATTACATGATTTTGACAAGTGGTTTGTTCATGCATCAATGTACAAAAATCCAGGTGTTTGGCTCAACGATGATCATATATATACAATATTGGGCTATTGGCATGGAACATGGTTTCCACATCATGCTTGTGACTTGTGAGTGACAGAATCAATTTTGTATTTTGAAATATAAAGGACATGTGATATGAAATTAGATTGATTTGAAGTTGAAATTTTATTTGAATAATTTTTAAAGCTATGTTTTTTCTCATAAACATGAAAAATACACAAATTATGAATAGGATTAGAGTTGTTGTATAGTGATTCTAATTATATTTATATCACACAAATATATCCATAATCCAATTTCTATGGAGTAATAAATAAAGTTAGACGACCTATCTAAAAAAACCAAAAAAGAAAGAGAGGGACAAAAGTGAATGTGGAGGCTCATCATTTTTGGTCTTTACGACAGAAATAGTAACCTTAGGGGTCGAATTTGAAAATGAAATATTTGAGCGGTAAAATACCAAAGAGGACGCTGCATTCACACACGTCCATGTCCATTTTTCAAAAATTGAATAAAAACTCCTCAAACTAATATTTTCCAAAAAGGAGTATGCAAATTTGATGTCAGGAAGTGGATTCATCATTAAGATGTTTCCTCTAGCCTGAGCATAAGTGTCATTTAGTCCCATAAGGAAGTGAATAAGCTTTTCATCCTCCATAGATTTCTCCATTTTATGTTTTCCTTGACACACACATACATAAGAACATTTGATGTTTTAATTCAAAAAGTCTAGTTCATCCCAGAGTCTTTTAAGATTAGTGAAATATCCTGCTATGTTATTGTTTCCTTGAACTAACCTACTTAATTCCTTCTGCAAGTGAAAGAGTTTAGCACCATTTGACTGACCAAAGCGATGCTCCAAGCTGAGCCAAAGTTCTCTAGCAGATCTGGAGTAAATCACACTATCAGCAATATCCCTGGAGAGAGAGTTGAGCAACCATGAAGCACCATGTCATTACATCTGGTCCATAGTTGTAGATCTGAAGAACCAGCAGCTAGTGCAGATTGATCCCCTGTAATAAAACCCAGTTTGTTCTTTGCTCAAAGAGCAATAAGAGCAGATCTCTTCCATGCCTGGTATCCTTTGCCATCAAATACACCATTAACAAGAGTCATACCAGGTGCATCTGAGTTTGTGGGGAAATAGGGGTGATTGGAATTAATTCCTAGAGTAGTTTTAGTACTATCAGTCGTTGCTCCAGTAGAGACTACAGAATCAGGCATTCCTATTGCTTAGGGTGATAGATTAAAATATAGAGGATTTGTGATTAGCTATGCTCTGATACCATGAAAGAAAGCAAACATTATTGGAAAATTTATGTGTATATTGATGATCCAAAATACAATTGTTGATCTTATATTTATATACAAGAGAGGAAATAAAAAGAACCTTCTATTCTAACTGCTATGCCAGATGTACAAGATTAATTGGCTCAACCTATAACAAACTTTATTCCTTTTCTATGTATATACATTGCATATTTCAGCCATATGCATATCTATTGTCTATTGGGCCATTTATACGAAATGGTCTGATGACTTCTTTTATCTGAGGTGGGCTTTTAGCTAGCCCAGTGTTAAAACAATTGTTTAACCCAGAGTATACATGCCTTTTGTCCTTTTCAGACCAAATGAGGGGATTCGACTTTTCCGATGAAATCAAAGCCAAACATGAAGCTCTTGTCTTGTTTTTCTTTTCTCCCTTTGACAACTCCTTTCCTTGTGTATCACCAATAATTCCAACAGTTTTTGCTCATACTTTTATTAGAAGTTTATACATTTTTACTTATGAACTCAATTGAAGTTATTGTAGAAATCTATAAATTCAAATTTTAAATTTACCCTTATTACATGATTTGACAAGTGGTTTGTTCATGCACCAATGTACAAAAATCCAGGTATTTGGCTAGCGATGATCATATATATACAATATTGGGCTATTGGCAAGGAACATGGTTTCCACATCATGCTTGTGAGTGACAAAATCAATTTTGTATTGAAATATAAAGGACATGTGATATGAAATTAGATTGATTTAAAGTTGAAATTTTATTTGAATAATTTATAAAGTTATATTTTTTCTTATAAACATGAAAAATACACAAATTATGAATAGGATTAGAGCTGTTGTATAGTGATTCTAATTATATTTATATTTATATCACACAAATATATCCATAATCCAATTTCTATGGAGTAATAAATAAAGTTAGACCTATCTAAAACAAACCAAAAAAGAAAGAGAGGACAAAAGTGATGTGGAGGCTCACCCTTTTTGGTCTTTACGACAGAAACAGTAACTTTAGGGGTCGAATTTGAAAATGAAATATTTGAGCGGTAAAATACCAAAGAGGACCCTGCATTCACACGCGTCCATGTCCATTTTTCAAAAATTGAATACAAACTCCTCGAACTCCGCCATTAAACTAATACTATTATCAAAATCTCCGTTGTCTTCATCACACTCTTCACTTCGTTGACTCTATTCTGCCATTGCAAATGGGTTGCGTTTCATCCACTCTGCTCAATCAAGACAATGAATTCACCAATATGGGTGGCTCTGCTGCCGGTTTTAGCCACCACATTGTCTCTCTAACTTCCACCACTTATGGTCTCTTGACCCTTGATCCACCTTCAACTCCCCCACCCACCACTGTCCCTCCCACCCCTACCCCACCACCTCGCCACACTCTTGGTTCGCTTTTCCCAAGCCCCTTGTCGGAACCCAGAATCCTCAAGTCCGACATCATCAACTCTTGGGAACTTATGGCTGGTCTTGATTCCACCTCCACCACACCCATCTCTGACAGCTTTCGATTTCCCTCTTTACGCAAATCAACCCCTGATTCTAGTTTCAGATTCTTGAATAAATCATCCCCCAACAAAGAGAATTCAAGCCCCAATATTCCATCTTTTACCGATGCACTTGATAAAGCTGACATTTTTAACCCCACGAGATTGTCTTCTGCTTTCGTGCTTGATGGGTTTGAAAAGCTTTGTCCGCCAAATGGTGAGGGTAAAATTGTGATCTATACGACAACGTTGAGGGGTGTGAGGAAGACCTTTGAGGCTTGTAATGCTGTGAGATCAGCGATTGAGGGGCTTGGGGTTTTGTATTCTGAGAGGGAAATTTCGATGGATAGAGGTTTCAGGGAAGAATTGAAGGAGCTGATGAAGGGTAAAGAGAGCACTGAGTTAATACCTCCAAGGGTGTTCTTTAAAGGGAGGTACATTGGAGGAGCTGAGGACGTGATGAGGATTGTGGAGGAGGGAAATTTTGGGGATTTGCTTCAAGGGTTGCCTAAGATGAAAGCTGGTTCTGTTTGTGAGGGTTGTGGGGGTGTCAGGTTCATGCCTTGTTTTACATGTAATGGGAGCTGCAAGATGGTGAAGGAAGACGTGGAACAGAATGAAGGCAGAGCTGTCGTGGTGCGGTGTACTGAGTGTAATGAAAATGGATTGGTGCTTTGCCCCATTTGCTGCTGAGTGATGCAGGATCTGTGACTCTGAGGACCTAGCTCGGTTAGTCTCTAATGCACTCTCCTTTATTTGCATACATATATCTAAACTTGGTGCTCCTTTGGCAAATTAACCTTGATGAATAAGGATTGATGTTCACTATGGTATAAGATTGTAATTCAATAACTCGGGATATAATTTATTGAGTTACTGCTACCTTTGGTATTTGAATTTTTTGAATACTTACTAACTGGTTATAACAGTGTTGCATAAACTAATTCTGTACAGCCATAAAGAGAAAGCATAGTATAACATTTAGTACCACCAGCAGTGCTAGGCTGTAAGCATTTTTAAATACCATGGTACTTTTTGTGATTACATTGGACTGCTTCTGAAATGGAATTACTCCATGAACAGCTCGAGGCCCAGAGATTGATTGGAATGGTACTTGGAACACCTATGCTGATTTCTGAACTGAAAAAAGAAGTATTTGAATTAAGTTTGAGGGCTACTTTAGTTATTTATACCCTTCTTTTGTCAAGGAGAGACGTGTGTTTCTCAAACTAATAAGTGATAGTTTAGGTATGAAACTCACACTGTCAATAGTTTAGGTATGAAACTCAAAACAAATGGATAGTTTAGGTGTGTTTTTGACACTTATCTCCTTTATTAAAGGACACAACTTTCTTTATAAATCATTTGTACCAAACATTGATATCTCTGTTAGAATCCCTATACTTATTTCTGCGCCAAGGAAAGTGGTATTCCCTCTATTCCATTTTATATGAGATCATTTCCTTTCTAATATAATCCAAAAAGAATTACACACTTTTATGTTTGAAACATTTAGCTATGGAGTTTACTCTCAATGACATGATTTTATAGCCAGAAATTTCATGGCATAATAGATACCACATGATCCAAGGGTCTCTCGTTCCATGCCCAGTCAAATAAGTTCTAATAGAATGAAACAGAGGGAGCATCTGTAATAATTTGAGGGCTATTTCAGCCATTACTATTTGGCAGTAGTCACTTGCCTTTATTAAAGCATTCTTGCTTTCCCTACAGACCCATACAGGTTCTTGTTTGTCCTAAACCAGTTAACTAAAGAATTGTTTAGTTGATTCTTTCTTCTTCTACTTTGTGAATACAAATTACTGGTTTGAGTTTCTTCTTAGGTAATGCAATGGATTACATTATTCAATTGATTATCTGGATCAATAAGCTTGTATGATAATAATGTTGCATTTAGATTTGTATTTTTGACCAACAGAAGCTAACTGACTGATATGATTAATCTCATCAAAACTTGCTTCTTAAATCTCGGTCAGGGTCCAGTTCTATTTATAGTGGGATAAATGGATTATGTACACACCAAGTTGCAAGATGATATTTTACGTGAAGCTCTCAAGGACAGCTTTTGAAAGATTTAGCTCAAGTTGAGTGAAGATTCAGCACTAAACTAAACTGCGGGTAGTTTCTCAGATTCTGAATGAATCAACTGGCCCATAGGTGTTATCTACCTGTGTCATGAGACGCAGTGTAAATTAAAACGTACCAATAATATATCAATGCTAAGTAACTATGATATGATTATGATAAATTTTGCTGCTTTTACCTTACTTACGGATAGCTTCTCAATGGTAACTACAACATTTCTTGTGTTCTTCTGTGGGTGAATTTTGCTGTTTTTTCAGAAATGGTCACTTTTCAACTTGGAAGTTACCAGTAAAACTCCTGAAATAACCACATTTAGAACGAAAAATTTTATTCTGAGCGATGCACAAGTATGATGTGGCAGACAAGAGTTATATGAGGCCCATTTATATTTGGAAAAACTACCTAACTACACATACATCACTACCATATATACTATAATTACCTCTAGTTTAAAACAATTACATATACTACCACTTTTAATATTTATATCACATATTTTAAAAAATTTAATTAGATACACAAATCTCTTAAATATGGTATTGGATAATTATCTTAAATTTAATCTCCTTAATTAATGGTCCACATTAACAACTCAGAATTTTTATCGCATAAATCCGTTCCCCACCCCACTTCCACTTCCACTAACCCTCATTCTTCCTCCATCTTCTCCCTTTTTCTTCCTTCATCCTCTAAATACATATTTGCATGTTCAAATCAGCATTATACATATATGTTTGTTTTTATTATTTTATTATTCTCATGTATCTTGGTTTTGTATCTGAGTTAAAGTTCATAATGTTCTGACATTCAATTTTAAAAAGTTCTACAAATTAGGTTTTATATTTTTTGATTTTGTTGTTTCTCAAATACTTTAATGGCTGGTCATTCTCAAAATCAGATGATTATTGTTAAAGGTACTACACATTAACAATATTATACTAAATCAAGCAACTTCTATTTGTTATTTTCACTCATGAGTTTTTCATTGTAGGGATTGACTCTTCATCCGTTAACATTCAAGCCGAGAATAGATCTAAGTATAGGAACGACTCAACCAAGAGGGAAGAGTTATGCCAAGCTTTACTTAACATAATAAATACACCATTAGATATGCAACAATGTTGGATACACATCAAATGTACATGTATCTAGTTAAGAGTTGATGTATCTAAGTTTAAATTATATGTATTTGTGAGAAAAAATTCAGATGCTAAAAAAAAGGAAGAATTTTGAATTTTTTTACTTTTTTTTGGATTAGTGATAAGACAGATACTCTAACATCGTGAGTTGTTCCTAAATTCAATTGTTTCAATTACATTTCATATTTAGATACACAATTTATGTATATGCTTACAACTTACTATGTATTCAAGATACACGTTTTTGAATATAATGTATGAAATTGATACTTGATACATCAAATTAATACTAGATACATACGAAAGATACATGAAATTAGATCATATAAATAGATACATAAAATTAATAATAGACACATATAGCAAATACACGAAATTAACACTAGATACATCTATTATACATATGAATGTACTTGTACGATACTCATGTATCTAAGTGTTTAGTTTGTAGGATACATCATCTATTGATAATAGATACATCAAATTAATGAATTAATTATTTTAAGAGTAATAAAATGAAATTAATCAAATTACATGACCAAGATATACATGTTTTTGTTTTTTATTAATAATAATATTAATGAATTTATTATTTCAAAGAATAATAAATGAAATTAATTAAACATAAATGCACTCCTTGATTTGTCCTATATTAAGAGATTTGATTAATTTAATTTCCAGAATTAATATATTCTAAAAATCATCAATTACTCCTCTAATTAAGCAAATCAGTTACAATCAATTAATTTAAACAAATAAAATACGTATCTTGATTTTAAATTCGGCAGATACATGTATCTCACAGATTCAAACTCATGTATCTTAAGTATGAAATATGGTAGAAGAAGTGATATTTGAAACTATCGGGAATCTTAGTAATTATGACCTAAACTAGTGGGATTTATGTAGTTTGCCCTTTATATTTTGCCAAGTGGATCCCTTTCAGAAAAAGGGGACACTCCCCTTTCTCTCTCTTCCTTTTAACGTTTTTGCCCTTTCTTACTTCTTTTACTTTTTTTTTTTTCCTTTGGTTTCTTTTCTAAAACACTTGTTCCAAATTATATACTTTCATACTTAAATAACTTTATTCATGAAAAATATGAAATTCAAAAAATTTTGCTTGGCTCATTTTATTTATTACATTTTTATATTGTTTTTCCATCTCATATTAATTATTTATATTATTAAAATAGTTATATAAAATTATTTTTTAATTTACAAAGATATGATTAATTAAAAAATTTCTATTTTATTATAACAATTAATTATTTTTGAAAGTATAAATAAAATTTATAAAGTTACCAAAAAAAATTAAGGTATATATTTTATTTGTGTTTTCTTAAGAAATTTGTAAAAGAAAAAGTAGATCATTAATATAAAAAATAAAGAAGGTATAAATTTAATATGTTCTTTTATTTTTCTCTCAACAATTTCATAATCCAAAAACACTTCAATCCAAATACTCTTCAATAAGTAACTAAAACGGAAAGAACATCAATGATCTTGAAAAACAATTACATAAGTTTTGTCTTTTTGATACTATTGTCATGAAATTCAAAAATGAAAAACATTCATAAACACCAACATAAATACATATTATTTCCGTCAATTTATACCATATTTGTATTCTTAAAAATCAAGATAGGTGAAATTTAATAAATATTTTGCTTATCTACTTTTCTTACATGTTCTTAAAGAAATTATAAATATACATAATATTTTTAATAATTTATTCCTTAAAAGAATTTTTGCAATTTTACAAAATTTATTTATAAAAAAAAAAATTAATTGTTAGGATTAAAAAAACTACTTATATCTTGATTTTATAAACTAAAAAATAAATTTCAAACAACTATTTTAATAGAATAAACAATATAGAATAGAAAAAATAATATTAAAATAATAAACTAAAAACGTATATAATAATTGTAAATTTAAATCAAAATTCAGTACGTAAAAAAAGAAAAGCATAAACTAATTAATTTAGTGGGTTGATTACATGAATTTTCACTAAATTTTTTTTCAATTTCACTATCCTCAATTTTCTTGAGTTCATCCAAAAATAAGTAAATTTAATTTTTTCGACATATTACTTTAATTTCCCCTCAAATAAATAGTAATAGAGATATAAAATATATAATAGATACCGTGTGTGAGTTTCAAATTTTCTTTATTAAAACGAAAAAAAAATTACACTAAGAATTAACAAGCAAAAAGGAAAATGCAAGTAAGAAAGAAAAAGTAAAAGAAAAGATTAAAATTAGAAAGAAAAAGTAGGAAATAAGTACATTATGGGTCCCACAATATACATGTGGCAGCCAAATGTATATTGTGGGATCCATAATGTACTTATTTCCCTACTTTATGTGTGAAAAGATACAGGGCAAAAACGTTAAAAGGAATAGAGAGAGAGGAGTGTCCCCTTTTTCTGAAAGGGATCCACTTGGCAAAATATAAATGGGCCTCATCATATTTGTGGCTCGCCCTGAATAAAAATTTCCCATTTAGAACAATGACAAAATGTAAAAGTGCCGCATTATTTAATTAATTAATTAAATAAAAGAAGAGGTAAAAGGCCCAATTGTAGCTAAGAGATATATTAGGTGTGGAAATGGCTCCTTCCAGTCATAGGGAATAAGAAAGCAACAATATAATGTCCAATGGGTCCTAGCTAGCTGCCTTCACGAATCATGAGTAGGGTATAATCAAAGATTCATAGAGCTACAAGTCAATCCACTAGTCACCTCTTCTTTCAACAATATATTTATTTATTTTCTATAATCCTACCATTACACTAGCTTACACGTACGTAGCACTATATTAGTCTCACTCTAACATATATACTTCTATTCGCTAGGCTTTGATCACTTAATATTTTTGCTTCTCCTGGAATTTCATAATAGTACATACCTATAATTAATTAAAGTAGTAGTTGATGTTGTAGAAAACATTAAAGTGTTAGTTTGTTATGTTAAAATAGTTGATGTTGCGATAAGATTAGAACATTTAAACCAACATATAATAATAATAATAATAATAATAATAAAGAAAAGATAAAAAGGTGCACTCTCAACGTTTGAGAAGGTAACGTTAATTAATGAATAAATGGGACCAATTTGTCAACACAGTGTTATGATTAATGGTAAGAAAATGAAGTTTGGTGATGAAACGAACATAAATTCATTTGATTCAGTGCCTCTTAATGTAATGTTATAATTAGCAGAACCACCGCCACTCTAACCATCATGCACATCAATCAATTCTATCAATAGTTTTATGGTGTATATACCTTGTTATTATAACCTAATTAATTATTTCTTATATATATTCTTGTCGGTGAAACCCTTTAATAGACTTGTGTGTGCTTCCTTATTGAGAGATCAAGTACCTAAAATGATATAGACATTTGTGAAATTAAGAATTAATATAACTATAACAAAGTTGGAGCTGCAATACAATGTTTCATCCTCGTATGAGACCATCAAACAATTAATATATACAGTATACAGTTCTCTATCTAGCTAACAAAAATGTAGCAATCACCACTATTTTAATTACCACCCTACTTGCTTGGTGCAGAGATGGATATGTACCTACTTAGATTTCTAAAGAATTCATAATTTATCTTATATAAAAGATAAAAGAAATTTGTATTGAATAAGCCGATCAAAAAAGAACCAAAGGAAATGAATAAAAGTAGAGGGCTTACTCAAGTTAACTGAGATTGAAGCTTGCTTAATTGATTCATTTTTCAACCTTTAGTATGGTTGGCATCTTTATTTTTATACTACAATCTGGTGGCCGATACCTACCAAAATCTATAACACAATTAAGCAAATGTCAGCAATATTCACTAAAACCACATTTGAAAAAGAAAAAAAAAACTATCTAAAAAAATGTGATCTCATCCCCTGCTTTTATGTTCAACAAATTAAATTATTCTTAGTGCCACTTATTAATTGATAAAAATATATTGACATCTTTTGATGAGCACATGATGCAACTAATACTTTTTCAAGCTGTATACTTTGGAACCCTACATACAAATCAGCTTATTGAAAAATCGTCTTTCTTATTCTACTCCCCCCATTTCTAAATATTTGTCTTTTAACCTCTTAAAAAAACATTTAAGTGAAGAATAATAATTTGACTAAATTATTTTTATTTATTACTCCTATCAATTTAATATTTCTTTCTTTGGCACCACATTAAAATTTCTCCATATTTATGATCAAGAATAAAGGTGGAAACAAACAACGGATTGGATATGAAATATTAAAAAAATGGAGGGAGTATTATTTTTAATTCCAAGACAACAATTGCCATGTTTTCTGATAGTATTGGTCGACGCTGGAACTTTTTGTAGGTGCAAGCAAGGTAATAATCACTAATTGTAATTTTCAAGATATAGTATAATTTTATAAGATCTCACTACTAATTAAAATCATTACGGTCCTCACTAAAGAAAATAAATTAACTATCTATATTTACGCCTCTCTTACGCGATCATCGGAAATTAAAAAGATCAGGTTGGATAGTTTATTGGCATTAGTCATAGACAACATAATGATGAAATAGGAGACAACGTTAATTATTAAGAAAAGATATTTCAGTTGACTATCATATGCATGTCTCATGTCAACATACTCCATTATATTATTCAAGACTCTAATACTATTATTAAAAGAAAAAAGAAAAAAAATTACGTACGTACGTGGTACTCGTATCATTGTATCAATCAAACTAATTACTATTAAGGATACTATATATATAATAACGTCTCAGCTTGAACTTATTTTGGTCTATATGATGGAGAGGAATTAAACTGATAAGTGGCATAATGGATCGGAGGGTGATGGTGCGTAGCTCCAAAATTCAACGTCAACTTGGTGGTCATCATGTGGTTGATGAGATTGGGAGAAGGCATCGTCGTCATCATTTGGTCTGGCGTGACTGTGATGATGAAGAGGAAAACATATGTTGTTGTTTGATGAAATATTGTCATGGCCGTTAAGTTGAGAAGCCACCAGACGATCGAGAGATACCCAATCACTTGGACCAGATGCCGTTGAATCAACAGGCCGGCTAGTTTTGGGTGTCTCACAATGTTGTTGGACGTCCTCCATAATATTAATGTTGTTGGTTGGAGATCGAGAATGATGATTGTGTAGGGCCGGGAGGTGGATGAATGTAGGAGTATTATTATTTATCATGAAGGATGAGTTGGTGTTATTTATTTGCTTATTATCTAAGTGAAGGAGCTGGTTGTTGTTGTTGTTTTCCAAGCTGTCTTGTTGTTTGCATGACGACATGTACATGAGTATTTGATCAAGAACGCCGTCGTTGTAATTTGGTTTCTGAATTGTGGACATGAGTGGTGATGGACTCTCAAGAGCCTTATGATAATTCTTCTTCTTGAAAACACGGCACACCACCCATCCTTCTTCCTGCAGGTTATTAATTGATGATTCATTGACCTGCATATATGCAGTAGGAACAATAAGGTAAAATTATTAAGTAATTGTAGTATTAGCTAATTATATACTAACGTTGAGAGTAGTTTGTTGGGGAATGATGATGTTGTCGTCAAGGCGATACTCATGCATTATCCAATCTGATTTCTGACCATGAGGGGCACGTCCTTTATAAAAGACTAAGGTTTTTCTCATCCCTATTCTCTTACAGTTGCTGTGAATGACTTTATCGCGACCAGTAGCCTTCCAGAATCCGGCTGCAGTAGCACGATTTGTTCGAGTTCCTGTCGGATACTTCTTGTCTTTGTGACTGAACAAGTACCAATCATTTTGTGGTGTTGATCCTATTCTGCACTTTTCTGCATATGATCATATTATTATTATTATAATTAGTACGCGCGTGTTTAAACAAACAAAATGAATATATGGTAATACGTACCTTGAATGTCCCATGGTTCAAGCTTGTTCAGATCAACATCGCGAATAACATCAAGATCAATTTTCTCATAGGCAACCTTTTTCCTCAAGTAATAATGAACAAGTTCTTCCTCCGTTGGATGAAAACGGAATCCGGGAGGCACTTGAGATTCCCCATTTACTGACAGATTCATGTCCTTAGTCACCTTAATTAATTTGAATTAAGGGAAAGGGAATTATATAATTTATTAAAAGGAATAATGGTGAAGAAAATGAGAGGCCGGAGTACTTACTTAAAAAGAAAAGGGAAGAACATCATCATTTAATATGCAGTGGTTAGAGACACAAATTAAATGAAAAGGTTTGCATGATGTCCATTGGTCTACTTTTATGGTGGGGTCTTCTCAACTCTAACATAAAATCAACCACCACTTTCACTATTATTAGAGAAAACAATAAATAATAATCCATTCCATCCCAAAAAATAATACTCCCTAGGTGGAATTCCCCCATAAATTCTTTACATCTATAATTTTTTAATTAGACACTTAAATTACTAGTATTATCTATTCTAATAGAGTACTTGAACATATATATGACAAAATAGTCCTCTTAGACACTATTCCTTGAAATTTAGGATTCTGTTTGCGAACATGCATTATTGAACATTCGGCTTGTTCAGAATGCAGTAGAGATGGCAAAAAATTAGAGTATGGACAGTATAACTTGTTTACTTTGTCTAAATTTATTGATCTTCTATTTATAAGCTCAATTAAATTCAGCTTGATCCATTTTAGCCTATTAAAAAATAGGATTGATATGTACTTCATATTGATCATCATTTTTTTTTATCAGTGTAAATTGAGGTAAGGCGTTCATTTGACATTTGTAGAAAGAACAATAAAATAGTAAGGGGTTTGATAGTATAATTCAAAAGAGTAGGGTCCATAGATGAAGAAACAATGACGTTGGACCTTACAATTTGAAGAAAAGGTCACTCGAAACCACCTCACTCATTTTACTCGTGTAACTAACCCGCGTAGGATTGTTTGGTTGGGAATAAGTTATTCCAAGGTTAATTATTCTGGGATTAATTAGCTATCCTGAGATAACTTATTTCATCATGTATATGGGATAACTTATATCATCACTATGATATAAATGGTGAGATAAGTTATCCCAAACATGACAACCAAACAAGATATAAAAATTTTATTCCATCACTATTTATTTTTATCTCTCACACCAAACGACCACAGAAAGAGGGTATCGGTTCGGAGCCATTGCACTTTCACTCCCAAGAAATTAGCCATCACACATTAGACTAAAATTAACACTGCATCATCATTTCATCTGTCACTTAATAATTGGGATAAAACTTGTCAAATTTTAAACTCTCCAACAACTTCAAATATATAATGTTTGAACCTAATCTAACTTCACACATGATGTTTCAAGTTTCAAATAGCACATGACACAAAAATTACTCCGTCTTCACTTTCACTTTTACGTGAAAATTTTAACTATCATTCAAGAGTATTAAATCAATTATTGAAGAGGTACATCTATTCTATCATTCAAGAGTATTGAATTAAGACAGACTAAAACGAATGTATTAGCCAAGTGGAATGTTTAATTCTAACATATTAGCTAAAAATTGAAGGTTGTTACGTATCTTGTCCTTCTCACAATTCCAACCACTTCATTATTCTAATGTCTTATACATAACTCTATAAAATACTATAGTAGTGTTAAATTTGTAACTTTCATAAAGATGTAATCATTTTATTCGTCTTTCTTCTCCTAGCCCTTTAGTATTATGTCCACCAGCAACGATGACATTGTGACACACGCATTTATTTGTTATTCACTTTGAGTCCAATATATTTCTCTGTCCTATACAAATTATAAATAACAAGGATATAGTTTTATTTATTTTGTTTCTTAAGAAATTTTCTTGAAATTTGTTTATACTTTAAAAATAATTAAATGTAAAAGTAAAATGAGAAATTTTTTATCAATTTTATCTTAAATTTGTAATTTGACAATTATATATCTGGAATAATTATTTTAGTAATATGTGTTGGATAAATGGACAATTAATATGAAACGGACGGATTGAAAACATGTATTCATAAATCAACTGAATTTTTTGTCATTTAAGTCAACATGCAATAGGATATTTTCTTAAAAGTAGAAAAGTCCTCTTTAAATTTTAAGACAACAAATCACATGAAAACACCCAGCTTAAAATTTGGTGGATTATCAGTCACTGGAAAGTTTTAAAATTGGGTCAGGCCGAAGTCGGTCTTTTTTAAATTGAGTATATATTTTATTAGGTTTTTTCTTAAAATGTTAAAATATAAGGTGAAAAACTATCATATACATCGGAAGGTTGGATATTTTTCAATAATTGTGATTTTCTTTTATTATATCTAATGAAAGATTTGTACATTTTCTGTTAAAAATAGGTATACTTATGTGATTATGATGATTTAAAAAAAATCATAATCATGTGACCGTTCACGAAATTTAGGCATGAAAACACTCACCTTAACTCCTGTGAATGAATATAATATTTCCTAAAATCATTACCCATGAGAAAACACGAAGCCTCTAAAGTCTAAAGCAGTTAACTTACATAACTAGCGCAAAATTCTTAAATTTTCACCTAATTAACTACATTCAACTAAACATATCATATTCGATCAAGTAAAAACAATGCCTTTTTTGAAATATTTTTACTAAAACATTATGCTCGTTGAAACGAATAACATGTTTCTCGATAATCCTATACATATATAAATTGAAACCAAATGTTTTTTTTTCCAATAGAGACCTAATTCATAATTTGTATAGAGGTGATTTTTTATCTCAAAGTGAATTGGATTTACTGATTATTAGCTCAAGACTCTGAAATATAAATATACTAAAGTTATGCATTCTACCCAATTGAGGTTCCAGTTTTCAATCACAACACGTCAAAATTAAAGAAAGAATTTCACATGTTCTAAATTAATCTCGAGTGTAGACAATTAATTAATACTTTTGGTAAAATACAATTAATAACAAAAATGTGTGAAGTTATAGTAACTATATATATATATATATATATATATATATATATATATATATGTTGTACACAGAAATGTATTTATAAAACGTTAACCAATTAGAGAGAGGGATAAATAAAAGAAGAATATCAATAGTGATGTCCCAAAAATGAAATAATATATAGTGATGTCTCAAAAATGAAATAACATATAGATGGATAATATATTAAAAATAACTTTGAATCTCATAAATTTAAATATGCAGAGTTATTATTTCAATTATAAAATGAGAATGTTGGAAATTGAAACTCACTAATATAATTACGGATTCGGTTCCTCTCCATTTCTCTTCTCTCCATTTTTCCCAAGCTCTAGCTTGGATTGGAGACATATGTCATAGTTTAGAATTAATGGTTGAGATTTAATTAATTAAGCAAAGTCCTAACCATAGTTATTTAATTTCATATATTTTCTTTTTAAATATTTTTGCAATCCAACAATTCTAGATTTACAATATATTTTTCCTAAATATAATTAAAAGAATTTCTTTTCTTAATTATTTGAATATTTTTTTGCTGATATTTTACTTTTTTTTCCCTAACGTTTTCAATTTCTCAAATAATATTTGCCAAATAAAAAAATTAAAAATTGTGACCTGACGTTTTTTTTCTTTTAAGAGTAAAATAAATTTTGTCACTCAACTTTAAATTCTTTCTTTTTTCGTAAATGGAGTCCATATTGCTCTATAGACACTGTAGTTTTTAATACTCTATAAGAATATTAAAAACTTTTAACTGGATTATAATTTTTTTCAAAAAAAGTAAAAATACTTAGTAAAAGTTTTAAATATATTTATGGAAAATATAATGGATTGAAAAAATATTTAAGAAGCAAATATATGGAATTAAATAACTATGTTAAGACTTTGCTTTAATCACTTAGATCTCAACCATTAATTCTAAACTATGACATGTGTCTCCAATCCAAGCTAGAACTTGGGAAAAATGGAGAGGTGTCGGATCCTATAATTACCAAGCTGGTTGTACTCAGAGGAAGATCGAGGATTCGGAGGCTAGGGGTGCCATATCATCTAAATGATAAACGGGTCGGTTCCTTCATTTTAGGTTATGATTCGGGTTATTTAGTTTTTTCGATTTCTATAAATCCATTGATCAAATATACATATTTAGTAATGTTTTTTTTTCTTTTAAATATTCTAATATTAAAGATATATACTTAAATAGTTTTTTTTTGATATTTTTTAGGAATAAGAGACCTTATTCTCTATAACTTTGAGAAAACAAGAGATTTTTCACCTTAAAAATTCAAATTTGTATACATCATCTAATATCATATAGTTGAGAAAAAAATTAAAAATTATAGCTTCAATCCCATTATCTTCACTTAGCTAGTGTGACGTTAAAGATTGAAAGAACCTTTAAATTCAAAAGCTTTAACATGATTATATCCATCATTTTAAAAGTTTTTTTAAAAAAAATACTATTTAAATATATTTTTATTAATATTTCATGTGACGTTCAAAATTTAATAGTAATCTGAAATTAATATAGAATATCACACAACATTCGTATCAATTAAAGTTAAGTAAATAAGTAAAGAATAGCAAATAAAGGAACTAATTGAGGGGGGCGAGAAACTGAAGCAACGACAAAAAAAAGAGAGAAAAAAAAGAGGAAGAGCTAAAAGCCGATTCGAACCCTCGACACTCACTTGAAAAGATACGCCCTTTGCGCACCATTCAACGTATTGGTCACTGGGTGGCAAATCTACTATATATTCAACTTTTCATACTTATACACATATATATATATACAAAGTTTTAACTGAGGCCACTGGGTGCCGCGGCACCCCACCATAAGGCTAGATCCATCCCTGGTTGTACCGCTTCTTTTAACAAACTAAAAAGAAAAATAAAATATATTAATTACAATTTTGTTTTATTTTTTTTAATCAAAATCCATTCATGACTGCAGACTCCAGACTCCAGTGATGATAGATACAACAATTGACACCCTTTCATGAGAATTATGCGTCCGCCACGGGATAGAAGTTAAAAAGGGATATAACCAGATGGAGGGGGACATATATATAAGCCTAACCTCCTTTAAAATGTTAGGACAATTAATTAGATGACTCGTCCTATAATGTTTCATGATCAAAAGATGTTAGTACAAGAAGAAGCATATAGAAAAGGTGTTACAAGAACATATTAATTACAATTAACATGGGTTTAAAACAGTTTAACTGCCCAGCCATTTGCTGGTTTAAAGTTGTTGTCATTTGAATTGATGTTTTACCTCACTTTTCTCTTCTATCTGTTTTGACTCTCTCATGAGTACTGTATCCCATCATCAACAATCCTTTTTTTCCTACCACCATGTTCAACTTGTTTTGTTCCTTTTTCCCAAGTCCCAAGTATTTATTTATTATATATATATATTTTACCTTCCAGAGAGCTCATTTTTAAAGGAGCCAATTAAAATTAATCCATGACAATATGACTCACTCAACCCTTTTTTTTTTTTTTTTGGTAAATACTCAACCCATTTAAGTGTGCGTGGATGGGGCCTATTTAGCTACTTAACTCATACTAGTTAACCTGCTCAATTCAACTCATTTTAAGTTGAAATATGTTTTTCTTTTTTAAATAATTATTTTGTTTGATATGTTCCCTCGTATGACGTTTTGATTTTCTTAATTTGAGGAAGAAAAATTGAAAGAGTGTCATACATAAAGATTAGAGAAAGGTGAAGAATATTTTTTGGAGAGAGAGCGAGTGTGATGATTAGAGTAGAGAGCTAGTGTTTGTGTTGAACCATGATGATTTGTAAGTGGATGGATGATGAATAAGCTAAGGCAACACAACGCACATTACACACAATATATACTAATAGTATATAAATAAATTCCGTTATGATCAAGTAGTGAGTCTTAGTCCTAATTATGATGTTCATTATTCCTCAATTCCTTTCTTTAATGATGAGGCCCGGCCTTAATAAATTGACGACGCAACTACTTACCTCTTAATCTCATGAATTCACTATTAAATAATAACTACTTAGTGGCCGGTAGTTGTAGTTGGTTAGTTGGAGTTGGACTTAATTCTATATATGCATTACATTATTCACCCATGCTATACTTACTAATTTTTAACTTACAACTTGATGACGTCCCTAATTCGTAAACCAAAATTTTCTCCTTTACATAATTACGATGTGATATATATATATATATATATATATATATATATATATATATATATATGACGACAACATTATTCATGTACACAAAAGAAAAAGGGAAAAAGTACTCCCATGAGGAAATTAACTTAGTAATGTTTTTGAATTTGCTTTACAAGCAACATATATAATATATTAGAGTAGTATTTTAATATCAATAATTGCCAAGGAACTTCTATTTGGCAACTTATTATGTTCAGATAGATGAGTTGCAACACCAATTTAATGTTACGTTTGTCCTACACTTGTTACTTCTATTTCACGTTATAGCTTTACGTACATGATTTCCTCTTTTCTTTCTAGTGTCCGTTTATCCCCCTTTCTAATTTTCTTTCTTCTTCTGTGAATTAGATAGCCAAAGAAGCATTGGTCTGTGTAATACTGTAATTTTAACCTCAATCAGATATCAACTGACATTTTCCTACTTTATGTTATTTTACTACATCTAACATCAGAATGATCGATATTTATTCCAAAGAAAGGATAATTAGTAAAAAGAACATGTAATAAAATGTACGTATGTGTACCAAATCACCTTTTATTATTACCGTTTTATTATCAGACTGCTTTAATTTCTTGTTGATTTGCATCTTAGTATATATTTAAAAGGTGCTTTAGAGAGAAAAGTTTGCAATTATTAGTGAATGAACATGATAATTGTGATTTTACATCTCTAGGGACCAATTGCTGAAATGAGAGAAGATGCTCTTTCAAAGTTAGATTGTTGCTTTGTTAAAGAAAGGTATCCATCTTATCTTAATTAATTAAACGTTTACCTCTTCACATAAAATACTAAAAGTGATTTCAACAGTAAAGTTTGGTTAGAAACCCCACATTGGAGTCCACTATATAATATGTATAAATTATAGGAACCACATATTATAAGTACTAAATAATATTCTATCCCTTCTAGTTTTCTATTTACCAAAAATCCCTTAAAAATGATGTTTGTGGGATACATAGCGTTGTGCACGGGATACATTAGGTTTGATACATTCTACATAGCGGGATACATAGTGTTATGCATGAGATACATGCGAGATACATAGCGTTGTGCACGAGATACATAGCGTTTGATACATTCCACATAGCGGGATACATATCGTTATGCACGGGATACATGAGGGATACACAGGTAAATAAGGGATTTTTGAAAATTTTGAAATAAGTAGAGATAAATGGATATTAAGGTAAGTAAAGGAGTGTAGTTAAGTAATTTGTCCTAATATATATGGTGTTAATATTGGCCCAATATGAATGAAGTTCGCCAAATACTTGTGGGCCTGCTGTCTTTATATTAGGTTATGGGCTATAGCAAATAAAAAATGGGCCCATGGACATCCAAATGAGAAGAGAGTCAAAAACAGGCTGTCATTTCCCATTTCATCCCTTCACGTCTTAATTCAACTTAACGTGTGAACCATATATGTTAATGATCATCAAATCTCTTGCTAGATATGTCTAAATTTTGAATTGGAGAATTATTAACTAGGTCCTTTTCTCAAAACAATTATATTATGTCTACATAAGCATATTACAACTCATTTAATATTGAAAAGATTTTGTAGTTGTAGGGCCGCCAAACCTCCTTAGTCAACAAATTATATTGTATAATATAAGATCAATTCTTGTTGAAAATCCTAAAAGCCTTCCATATGCATGTATAATTAGATTATTTTAGGCTCTTTTTCTTTTTTTAATACATAACATATTTTCTCATAATTTGGGTTCGCGCGGAAATGCGTACTTTCCGTCATTTGCCACTTTAACTTTAACAAATTAGAAAAAGAAGAGTTTGTCCGGTCCCATTTTCATTTCCCTTTGTCTGTCTAAACTCTAACTAAAGAGAAAAAGTGAAAGGCAAATAATCTAATAGGGATTTGACTGAAAACATGGAGATAATGCACTATGGCCCCCATTAATTAATCTGTAAGCATAACGCATGCACTTACTATTCATACACAAACACATGATTTGTTTCTTCTTTATCTAGGATCAAGAAAAGCGAGTTCCACCGACGACATATGCAAGACCATCCATCTATATATGTTCTATTATCAACATTAATTATAAGTAGTTAAGAAATGGGGAATTGCTTGTTTGGAGGAAATGAAGAGATGATGGTGAAAGTAGTAACATCCACGGGTGGAATCATGGAATTCGTTGCTCCCGTTACAGTTGAATTCATTGCAGAAGAATTTCCGGGGCATGGAATATTTAGAAGCCATGATCTTTTCTGGAAGCCACTGCCAGCAGCACAAGTACTATTAGCAGGAGACTCATATTATCTACTGCCGCTCAACAAAGAAGAGAGCAGTAATATAGAAATAGGACATGTAAGATCAAGCAGCGTTCCTCAAATTCAAAATCTAGTGGTTGCACCCTATAGAATGTCTTTCGATAGCAAAGGAAGGTCACAAGCATTGTATCGCTACAACAACATTCAGAAGAAGAAGGGGAGCCATTTTTGGAAAGTGAAATTGGTCATAACTCCCAAACAACTTTTGGAGATTTTGTCACAAGAGACTACAACACAAGAGTTGATTGAGAATGTCAGAACTGTTGCTAAATGCGGCAAAACTGGATTTTCCGATACCTGGAGTCTTTCTAGTAGTAGAAACACCACTTCTCATGCTTTATTTTCCTTAGAGTAAGACCTAGAATTCATCTTTTGTACCTAATATTTGTGTTCTACTCTCTGTAACATCAATCAATATGCATATATTATATATCAAGCCATGTTTCATCATTTGTAACTTATTCAATATTTTCAGGGAGCTGCTTTTGTTTTAGTCATCTATATATGCTTTTTAATTGTTCCTTCCGATTAAAAAAATAAATAAACTTTAGTCAATCAGTTTAGTGCTCATCACAATTTGGGAGGTATAGTCAAAATTTCTATACCACTGGCTTGGGCATCATAGCACTTGTTCTTCCATCAGACCCCGTCGTCCTTAACATCTATAGGTAGATTGTTGCGACAATCCAAAGTTTTAAAATTATAGCACATAATAGAGATTATTCGATATATATGCATGCTTTTTGAGGTCTCTATTTATTTCTAATTAAAAAAATCTGGACTTTATATTTGTGGATGTACATGAACCTCCACGACTTATATTTAATAATAAAATTCTGAGACTTGTATACATTGTCATAGCTACTATAGTGCATAAAAAAGGTTAAGAAAACGCTAGTTGTAGGATATGAGACGGACTTTTTACAAGCATATTGGTGAACGACAACAAAACTGATAAAATTTTGCTTCTTTTTTAAAAAAAAATTCCATATACAGGAAGGCTAAGTTAGTAGTTGGTCCGAACAAAGTTGGATGTTAAATAAAAGAGTTAAAATTGAGCAATAACTTGGATCTAAAAGAAAAGAATATGTAAACAATTTTTTAAGAGAAAGCAAGACTTGGTCCTTGGCACTTGGCTGTACGTTTCATCAAGTTTACTTTGTCAACTTGCAGGTTTCATCATCTTTAGCAAGTTCCACCGCCCATCATGTCACTACCCCCAAGTCAACACATTCCCTCATTCCATATACTCTATAATTAATCTTTTCTGCAACGTAACTTGTGTTTAAAATCACTATCGGATGATGTCCACTTAAACTTAGCTCTATTAGAGAAAGGATGGTGTATTACTAGCTAGGTCTTATCTTTTAATTTTGGTGAAGTAAACATTATTTCCATAGTTTTTATATACTAGAATAAATGCGAAAACATTACTACTAGTAGTTTTGTCTAACCAAATAAAGGTATGCATGTACTTTTGTGTTAAAATGGTAATTGGGCCTGTGGGCTACAAAGCAATGAGTAGACTTTTGAAGCTCCCTAAAACCCAAATTAGAAGTTGGCTCAAGTCAATCACAAAAGACTAGTGCAATAAAAATATTTTTTATTAGCGATAATAAATATATATATTAATAAAGAATGCTAAAACTTTTATCGGCATTAGATAATTAAACAAACGGGTTATTATATAAATGTGGCTTACCAAAAACTAAACTTTATCTGAAAACATGCATGTGGCTTGACTAATAATGACAACTATATGGGTGTGTTTGGTATGAAGGAAAACATTTTTCGGAAAATATTTTCCAATTTTCTCATGTTTGGTTGGATTAAATGTTTTGGAAAAGTTTTCCAAATCAACTCATTTTCCTCAAATTCAAGGAAAATGACTTCCCTTCAAAAATCAAGGAAAACATTTTCCAAAACTTTCCACCAATTTCAAATTACAACTTTTTTGTTGAAAAAATTAAAAAAAAAATTGTTGAAAAAATAACTTTAAAGCTTATTTTTTAAAAATATTTTTCAACTTCAATTTTTTTATCCCACCCTCACCCGACCCACCCTCCTCCCTCCAGCCCCCTACCACCCCACACCCCCACCCCTAAAAAAAATAAATTAAAGTTTGATTTTAGAAAATATTTCCAATTTCAAAATTATATTTTCACCCACCCCACCTTCGATCACCCCCAACCACCAGCCCCACACTCCCCCCCCCCCCCCATCCGCCCAAAAAAAATAATTAAAAGTTTGTTTTAAAAAATATTTTCAATTTCAAAAATTCATTTTTTCACCCCTACCTTCGACCCCCACCCAATCATCCCCTACCAACCCCCGCCCCCTGCCCCCCCCCCCCCCCCCAAAAAAAAATAATTTAAGTTTATTTTTTTAAAAATATTTTCAATTTCAAAATTTCATTTTTCCACCCCTACCCTCGACCCCCCACCCACCCACCCCCTACCAACCCCCCCCCCCCCCCCCCCCAAAAAAAATAATTTAAGTTTATTTTTAAAAAATATTTTCAATTTCAAAATTTCATTTTTTCACCCCTACCCTCGACCCCCCACCCACCCACCCCCTACCAGCCCCCCGCCAAAAAAAATAATTTAAGTTTGTTTTTAAAAAAATATTTTCAATTTCAAAAATTTCATTTTATCACTCCTACCCTTGACCCCCCACGCACCCACCCCTACCAGCCCCCTCCCCCCCCAAAAAAAATAATAATTTAAGTTTGCTTTTAAAAAATATTTTCAATTTCAAAAATTTCATTTTTTCACCCCTACCCTCGACCCCCCACCCACCCACCCCCTACCAGCCCCCCCCCCCAAAAAAAAAATTAAGTTTGTTTTTAAAAAATATTTTCAATTTTAAAATTTCATTTTTTCACTCCTACCCTCGACCCCTCACCCAAAAAAGATAATTTAAGTTTGTTTTTAAAAAATATTTTCAGCTTCAAAAATTTATTTTTTCAGCCCAATCCTCGACCCCCCCACCCCCCAAAAAAAAATTTAAGTTTGTTTTAAAAAAATATTTTCAACTTCAAAATTTCAATTTTTCACCCCTACCCTCGATCCCCCCCCCCTCACCCACCGCCTACCTCCCCCCACTCCCCAAAAAAAATTTAAATTTGTTTTTAAAAAATATTTTCAATTTCAAAAATTATTTTCTACTCTAGTAAAAGTAAAAGATATTTCCCAAAAATATTTTTTCATTCATAAATCAAACACTAAAAAAAAAAAATTCGGAAAATATTTTTTACTCACCAACCAAACATGAGAAAAGAAGTAAAAATCAACTTGTTTTCCGGGGAAAACATTTTCCTTCATACCAAACACACCCTATATGTAGCCTTTTTTGTTAGTTTGTTTGGTTTTCTCAACGTAACTTGTGTAGATAGCGAAGAAGGAAAAAGTTAAAAAGAAAAATAGGGCAATTCTATTTCAACCATATGCTACAATTGATAACTATTGGAGTGTTTTATTCTCCTTTCTCTTCTTCAACTTGGTTAAGTGGAAACCAGAAAAAAAAAATATTGACCAAGCTGACTCCATAATAGTAGTATAGTACAGACAGGGGTGGAGGGTAGGTGTTTAATAGTCAAAACATTGAATTTATAAGTGAAATTATGAAACATTCCAATATTGTTCCAAAGGGTATATTTTAAATTCCATTTATGATATTTTAATTTGTCTTTGAGGTGGTTTTCTTAAATCGGATATCCCCGAAGGGACAGTAGTTGAATGGAGTCAGTGCATGTGTTTTAGGTAGTTGCTATTTACCACTTTCTCCATCCACATTAGCTTTTCTCTAATGAATGAAATCACAAATGCCTTATGAATATTCTACAAGCATTAGCCTTTTGGTCCTAGTTGTTTGCAAACATCAAAACTAGGGTCAACCTTTTTTAAACAAAAATAATAGTAATTTACAAGTTTAGCACATGCATTCATGTTCACATTATACAATCTTCGTTGCTTTATGGTAAGTAAATGTGAACCCTTCTTTCTGCTGATAATTACTGATTCATTTCTCTACCACATCAAAAGCTAATAATCCCTTTAACATAAAGAATTTAGTCCACGCTTCTCTATCTCCAACAATTGGTCGATACATGTTTAATTAAACTTCTCATATACTAGCCACATACTATTATTATTAAAAAAATCATATCATAGCGTAGATTTTATTTTTGAGTAAAAAAGTGATTTAATAATTTATAACTTTCTTTTCTAAGTACTCTAGAGCCCATGAAGAAAAAATAAAATAAAATCCACCTCTAACTAATAATTTTATTTGACATATATAATCATTTTTTTAAGGTCATCGCCAATTAATTTTTCTAATGTAAAATTACTTTATAAACTACTTGATTGCGTAATATTTTTTCCTATGTCTGCATAAAATTAATGCCACTTTAAAACATATTAAAATAGAAGCAGAGTAAAAAATGATAAAAAGGAGTCACGGGCGATGGGATTTAATTTAAAAATACTAGTAATAAATATGGTGAGCACATGAAGCAACAGCCAGGTCAAGTCAACGTCTGCTTTTGGCCTAAGGGCCTGTTTGGCTTATGACTTATAAGCCAATAGTCATATGCTAAGATTTTTAATTTATGGTTTTTTGGCTTATTTTTGTTATTTTGATTTTAAAATAAGTGTTTATAAGCCATTTTTAACTTTACTCAAACACTTCAAAATTACTTAAAAGTTATTTCGACTTAAAAACACCTAAAATAAGTCAATTCAAACGCACGGACACTTACACATGGAGGAGATTATGTGCGTAGGAATGAAAGGCATTGGATGTAAAAGATAACGACGCACTTAATTAAATAATTCATTTTAAATGTGTCACTGCTCATCAAATTTTTAAATGTTGATCTTCTATTGATTTATTTATTTATTTTTAAAAAAGTGTTGTGGGACTTTTCGATGGTTTTGTTGTTTAACGACTTTGCCTCGTAGCAAACTCTATATATTATCATCGTTATTAAAATAATAATAATTTGGAGTTTAAATTACACTTATTAAGTTTTGTGTTCTTGGGGATTAAGATTTGATAACATTAGAAGAATAACAAAATAAAACTTATTTAGGCTTGTTAACAAACAGGAGATTTCAAATAATTCGTGTTGGTCAGTTAATTTTTTAAATAAGTTAATACCAGATAATTGTTTCATGTTTCAATCTCAAATTAGATACGGCTATTGTTCAGGAAATTTTTGCAAATACTCACTATAATAAATTTAATTATGCTCCATAGCTTTAGTTTGCATATTTACGGATTGTAGCTACAGTTTAAGTTGTCTCGTTTGTATAATTCGCTGGTGAGTTTATATAATTTCACGGTACATTTGTATAATTGAGCTATTTTTGTATAAACTCGAAATAACAAATTTATACAAATATATACAAACATTTGAACTTTAAACATTTATACAAATTATATTATGCAAAATTACATTTACAAAAGTTATACAAATTCTAAATATACAAACTCGAAACCCCAAGTCTATTACCACTGAATATTGGTCTCGAGTAATAATTATTTAAAACTATAACTATATTTCCTTAAAAAGTGTTTTCCCTTTTCTTTTCTTTCTTTTTATTGTTATTGTTTTCCTTCCCTACATTTTTTTTTTTAAAAAAAAATGTTATGCTCCAACATCTATTTAATTACAAGTTGGGGATGAGAGTGACATATAAATCCCATGACCTGTTGAATTAGGTGTATCACACAGTGTCTTTGAAAAAGGTAATTTGAGATTATCTTCAAACACGTACAATGATATTTTACCGTTCCAGAAACAATAATAGTAGTATCAGTATGCTTGGCGCATTTTTCATTAACTTATTAATTGTCAAGATCTATAGTCTAATGATATTTACGGACTATTAGCTAAATAGTACAAAATAATACTCAATAATAACCAAATATCTAACTATTAGTTTTTTTAATTAAGTAAAATATTGGGATATGACATACTCTTATATTACAAAAACATTTACGGACATACATTAAAAATTACTTTTTTTACTTTGTCCTTTGGATTAGTTTTGAGCTATTCTTCTAAAAGAGGTAAAGTAGTTAAGAAATTCATCAAATGGAGGATAAATATCAAAAAAAGAAAAAAATCTCAATTTTGAATAATTTAACTTATAATTATTTTTTTAATATTTTACTTAATATGGAATATTGGGAATAATATTACTATTTGATATCCCTTTTATTTGCAGTGACAAGTGTAATATATTTTATATAAAAAACACGTCATAAAGAGAGGGATGAGAATGAATTGAATTTATGGATATGTAGATGGGTTGCTATTAATTAGTTTGACCACAAGGTTTTGTTGTAACACTATAAATAATGCCTTTTGTAGAAATTGACTAGGAAAGAAAGCCCCCAAAATTGAAGACATGGCTTCCAACAGCAAGGTCATCACTTGCAGAGGTGAGTTTTGTGGAGTAATAAATTTCTTCTTCTTCTTCTGTAGAAATTAACAAATTATTATTGTTGCAGCTGCTGTAGCGTATGGTCCGGGGCAGCCCTTGGTGGTAGAACAAGTGCAGGTCGATCCACCTCAGAAAATGGAGGTCCGAATTAAGATCCTCTTTACTTCCATCTGCCATACGGATCTCAGTGCTTGGAAAGGCGAGGTATATATATAAATCAAGTTTTGATTATTGTGATTGATGAATGATCTAATTTAATTTAATTTGTTGGTAAAGAGCGAAGCTCAACGAGCTTATCCTCGAATTCTGGGACATGAAGCTTCGGGGTAAGTTGAACAATACTACTACTAGTGTCTAGTATATATATTATTGTTTTGTTTTACAATTGTTAAGAAACATATACAGAGTGGTGGAGAGCGTGGGAGAAGGTGTGATTGACATGAAAGAGGGAGATCACGTAGTACCGATTTTCAATGGAGAATGCGGAGACTGCATTTATTGCAAATCATCAAAGAAAACCAACTTGTGTGGCAAGTTCCGCGTCAATCCCTTCAAAAGTGTGATGAACAGTGACGGAAAGGTCAGGTTCAGGAACAAGGATGGGATACCCATTTATCATTTTCTTAATACTTCAACATTTAGCGACTATACTGTTGTTGATTCTGCTTGCTTAGTCAAAATTGACCCTCATGCCCCACTTGACAAGATGACCTTGCTTAGCTGCGGCGTATCCACTGGTAATTAATTCTCTTTTCTTATGAGTATTTTTATAACCCAAATATAATCTCTCTCACATTTTTTAGTAAGGGTTATTCATATCTATTAGTATCTTTTATATATGTGCATTAGTTATTCTATTTTCTATTCTACATAAATTGATATTTGAACTTTGCACGCCCTTAAAATTAACATGAATTTAACATAATATACATATTAATTGATGTTTAATTTTAATTTTTTTAAAAGTAAAAGTATATGTTTTTATCTTGATATGTTAAACTAACGAGTAAGAATGAAAATATATTTTTATTGCAAATTAAAACAACTAGTAGTATGAGTATAATTTTTTATTTACGTAAGATTGTAAATAATAACAAAAAAACATATTTAATGCTATTATACAAAAACAAGTAAAAAGCTACATGATGAAATTAACATAATATTAATTGCTATTTAAGAGTATTTGGGCCTACTTTTGTGGCTGCTACTTGTTTCATTACAAGGCAAGTAGGGTATAGAAATTATTAAATGGGATATATCCATATAATTGATGCAGGTCTAGGGGCTGCGTGGAACACGGCTGACGTTCAAACAGGGGAAACGGTGGCAGTCTTTGGATTAGGAGCTGTTGGTTTGGCCGTAAGTTCCTAATACTCATTAATAATGTCAAAATTAAAATTATTATTTAAATAGGTTTGAAGTCACATTAATTTTAATTTAATTAAATTATTATTTAAATAGGTTTGAAGTCACATTAATTTTAATTTAATTAATAACTGCGCCTAAAGGCGTTGATGTTGTCTCCATCAATTAATTAAATACCCTCACATGGTAGCTAGGACACCGCGAGGTAGGTGTATTGACAAATCTTGTTTCTCCTTTCCCCTTACCACAAGATACATAACCAAGGCTGGCAAGGGACAGGGACTGGGGGACGGGACGAAGGGGGACGGTTCTGGGGGGATTTTGGGGGGACCGGGATTGGGGGAACCGGGATTGGGGGGACAAAAATAAGTCCCATCCCGTCCCACTATATATACGGGATGGGACGGTTTTTGGGGGGACGGGACGGGACAGGACGGGGGATTTTTTATTTTTTATATACTTATTTATTTGTATTGAAATTATATTTATTGAATAACATTTTTAGTTTATTTGATTTTTTTTCAATAACATTTTTAGCTAATAAATAATGCTTAAGTTTTCAAATTTCAAAATTCAAATTTCAATTTCAAACTTCAAATTTCAAATTTCAAATTTCAAATTTCAAATTTCAAATTCAACTTTCAAATTTCAAATTTCAAATTCAACTTTCAAATTTCAAACTTCAATTTTCAATTTTCAATTTTCAATTTTGAAATTACAAATTTGAGAAGTTCAAATTTGTCTTTTAAATATTTTAAAGTAATTTAAACTTGAAATTTTGATTTTGAAGAAAAGGCCCCAAAAAAGGACGTTATGTGCAATACTTTGAATTTTCCTTCTTTTTTTTTTTTTTTTTAATAATCTAGGTGTTAGTTGATGTATTAAAGTTCCATTTTTTAACATTTGTTCCTTATTATAAAATTTTGTAATAGCTAGTTCTCTTTTTATTATGTTCAACTATTTTCAAACAAATTAGTATATATGTAAATATGTATGAATATATTAAAATTAAAATGCAAGACAATAGTTATATAAAAAAGACTTAATAAAGCCTTCAAATTTATTCAATAAAATCTAATTGCAACTTAGAACTTAGAACTTAGAAGTTACAATTTACAAATATTAGTGGAGTAACTAATCTACGCAGCCACCTTCTAGGAAGCGTTCTGTTTCAATAAGTTCTCATATGTAAAACTAATATTTGTTACAAATATTAGATGAGTAACTAATTTACGCAGCCACCTTCTAGGAAGGGTTCTGTTTCAATTAGTTCTCTGATGTAATCTAATATTTGTATTTTCCTTTAAAATTCAATTCTAATTGTCGCATCATATCGACGGTAACATCCTCCGGTGTTGGCAAACTTGCTAGAAACTCTTGTGACTCTAATTCATCATCATTAGATCCAAGTACCACATTAATCCAAGCTTCTTGTTTGGAACTTAACTTTGGCAAATTATCATTTCTCCTTTTGGCATTGACCCAATCTCTAAATAAAACTGATATTTCCAAACTGTCTTCCGCCAATGAATGTTTATGATCGTCAAGTTGAAACCTTGCCGCACTAAAAGCAGCCTCTGATGCAACTGATGAAGCTTGAATAGCTAGAACATCACGAACCATTTTGCTTAAAATTGGAAATGCAACGCTCCGCCTCCTCCACCATGCTAATAAATCTTCATTGCCATCTTCGTCTTCCACTGTTTTTAAAGATTGATTAAGATATTCTTCAAAATCATCACGGTTAGTAGAATTAAGACCAAGAAAATCTCGCATATAACTTGAAATTCGAGCTTTACTCTGAAGATTAGAAGTTTGACCAACTTCTTGAATATTTCCTGTAGTTCTATATTTTTCATACAAAACTTTTGCTTCTACTTTTATGCTACACTTACACATTTGACTAGTTGGATTTATTTCCGGTGAAATTTCTAAGGTATCATAAAAAGTGTCAACAAGTCCCTGCACACCTTGTAATTTATAGTCAGGATGAAGTAAAGTAGCAGTTAAAAAAATTTGAGGAATAGGAAAAAAATATTTTTAAAATTTTTCAATCATACCTTCAATTGCAACTCTAAATTTTTCAATATTTTTGCATTTAGAAAATTGAATTGAAATAGCACAAATATTTATTAATACTGATGAAATAGTAGGATAATAAATTCCAGAAAACATGGTTGTTGCATCATAAAAAAGTCTTAAAAATTCTAATAGTTCATTACTTTCTTCCCAATCTTCTTCATAAATTCTGTCTAATGGGTCAGCATTATGAGCATTAAACACCATTTGTATGGGTCCTCTATATTCGTAAGCAACTGAAAGCATTTTGTAAAAAGAATTCCACCTTGTTTTAATATGTCTTGGAATTTTTCTTGGTGGCAAATCACATAGTACACAACGCTCATTAAATTCCCTAATTCTAGCAACTCTATTAGCATAAAAAATCCAGGCAACAGCATATTCAATTTTCATACAACCACATTCAAATAATGAAATACCATCTTATACAACTAAATTTAATACATGTGCAACACATCTAACATGAAAAGAATTATCATCAATTGGACATAATCTAGTTTTTAACATACTAGCAGCGTTTACATTATTAGATGCATTATCTAATGCGACAGACATTACTTTATCTATAAGCATGTAATAATCTATAACACTCAAAATATTTGAAGCTAAATATGCACCAGTTTTTTTCTCTACACATTCTTTATAACTTAAGATTCTTTTTTGCAAATTCCAGTTATGATCAATCCAATGTGCTGTAACAGTTAAATAATCACGTCCATTAACACTATGACTCATGTCCGAAGTTATAGACACTTTACAATCTAATATGCTAAACACACAACGAAGATATTGACAATGTTTACCTTGATATACAAAAACATCAGATTTAATAGTATTTCTTGAAAAACCTCTATAATTAGGATTATAAGTTTGTTGAATATATTCAATAAAATCGGGATGTGAAGGAAAACTATAAGGTAAACCACAAACAGAAACCATTTTAGCTAAATTTTCACGATCTCTTTCCTTATTATATTTACGTTGTGTTAGTGGACCACCGGGGTTAGAAGGATCTAATGTTCCTTGAACCATGTTAGAAGCCCCTACCGATTCATTAACATTAATATCAAAATCATTAATTGGAATTCCTTTTTTTCTATCGGCTAATGATTTAGCTTCTTTATATTGAATCGGCACACAAGATAACAAATGTCTATTTAAGCCCCCCGTCCCACCTTGACCTCCACCTTGTTTATGTTTACAAGGTTGCTTACATTTATTACAAATAGCAATAGAATTTTCCTTATCTAAAGTCATAAATTGCCACACAACAGAAGTTTTAAGACGTTGATACTTCACCTTCTCCCTTGTAGGAGGTATAAGGGGTGGGCGTCCAGAATTTTGCTCCGTTGAATTTGTAGTTTCATTTGGAACATTTGTCACCGGACTAGTAGGTGTATCTTCTAATTCATCTTCTCCCGAACCAACTTCTACTTCTTCACCTGAATTTTCATCAAGATAAGGATTAATATCACCATAAATTTGTTGTAAAAGTTCATGATCGAGTTGAGCATTTGAATCAATATCATAAGAAGTATCATCAACATAAGTAGAATCATTTGTATTAAATCTAACTCTAGAAGTACCACCACATTTAGTCTTATTTTTTTCCTTACTACTTTTTTTAGTAAAATTAAATAATCTACTAATGCCACTTGGTTCCTTCTCTTTTCCTTTACCGGTATCTTTTTTGTTAGAACTCATATTTAATTATATGTAAAGTATAATATAAAAATAATAATAACACAAAAATTAATGACGAAAAATAAAATATAAATATTATGAAACGAATATACCAAACGTCTGCGTTAATAGCAGACGTTATAACCAATTCTTGAAGCTTGTAGTTTGTTGTAACTTGTAACTTGTAACTTGTAACTTGTAATTTGGAACTCCAATATTTGATAGCAAATATAATATGAAAACTTAGATATATATATTATGATATATAATATGAAAACTTAGAATTGAAATATATGTATTATGAATTTATGATATAATATGAGACTTAAATGAAATAAAATATTGAGATTTGAGACTTAAGATTGAGAGTTGAGACTTGAAAGAATAAAAAAAATAGATGAGAGAATATATAATTTTGTAAGAAATAATAAGGGATAGAGGGGTATTTATAATATTAAAAGTGGGTTAAAGTGTATTTATAATAACTTGAGGGTTTAAAGTAAATTATTAAAAGTAGGGGTGGTAGGGGGTGTTGGTGGGGGGAAAAAACTGCCAAAATATCCGTTGGGGGGGCCCACTAGCCGTTGCCCAACGGATAGAATTTAAAAAAATAAAAATAAAAATAAAAATTGTTAGGGGATCCCGCGAACCGGCCGGTTCATTCGGGCCGGGACAGGGCCGGGTCGACCGGGGCCAACGGGTGAACGGGATCGGTACCGGTCCCCTATCCCGAAAGCCCCCATCCCGCCATCTTCAAACGGGACCGGGTCCGACGGGCCGATTCTCGGACCGGTCGCGGGCCGGGGCGGGCTGACCCGATCCCCCTGCCACCCCTATACATAACATATATAGGGGTTCAACATAGGAAAGTAGCTAGCTAGGTGGATCATTTTTATTTTATTACTAATAAATGTACCTCTTTTATTGACTTTTCAATTTTTTGCGGTAGCTAATTTATGGAACAAGCTAAGCACATAGTAGTAGTTTATTTTACTTATATATATACTATTCCTAAAGTCAACAATATATTTCTATTACTAAAATAATTCTCTAATCATAGTTTTAGTATTATTTTTCCTCTTTCATGGATTAAGGGTAAAAGGTCCTTTAATAGACTAGTTGAGCACAAGAATTAATTTGTTCAAATTTTCAATTTGCCGCAGGTTGTTGAAGGGGCACGAACCAGAGGCGCATCGAAGATCATAGGAGTGGATATTAACCCTGAAAAACGTATTAAAGGTAAACGTTTCCGCAAAAATCATAAATGTATGATCTTAATTACTAATTTATAAGTTAAGGATTAGACAAATAATGATAGATGCTCCCTCCTAATTATTAATTAAGGTGAAGCAATTGGAATTACTGACTTCATCAATCCCAAAGAAATCGATGTGCCCGTCCATGAGGTCAGAAAGAGTGACAAACTCCATGACTGTAATTTTTAATGGTTCATAATCAATCACATGAATGAATGATCGATGCATTGAATTTGGGTGCAGAAAATAAGGGAAATGACTGAGGGAGGCGTGCATTATAGCTTTGAGTGTGCTGGAAATATGGAAGTTCTCCGAGAGGCATTTTTATGCACACATGATGTAAGTAATTTTATTTTTTCTATATATATATATAGAGAGAGATTGTCGTCAGATGACATGTGAGTTACGTTACATTACGTACAGGGATGGGGCATGGCAATAGTTTTAGGAATTCATCCGACACCAACATTGTTATCACTCCATCCAATGGAACTGTTCGATGGCCGAAGGATTGTGGCTTCTGTCTTTGGTGACTTCAAAGGAAAATCCCAACTCCCTCTTTTTGCTAAACAATGCATGGCTGGGGTACGTACGTTCATTTTACTTACTTACATCGTATTTTCCACTTTTTCTTATTAATTTAAAGTTACTGACTTTTCAATTGCATGTCTATGATCAGGTGGTAAAATTAGATGAGTTTATTACTCATAGACTGCCATTTGAGAAGATCAATGAAGCTTTTCAATTGCTTATCGATGGAAAATCCTTGAGATGCCTGCTTCATCTTTAATTTTAATCTTTCGTCGCTTCCTCCTCCTATCATGTAATGTATTTTGTGATTTTGGGTTTCTGCAAGAATCTTTATTTTCGTGCACTTTCTCGTATTTACTTTATAAATTTCTACATTGTTAAGTACTACTAGTTAATTGCCTAACATATATTTGCATAATTTGTTTACTTAAAAATTAATGGAAGAAAAATCATTTGAATTGAGCATGAGTTGGTATAACTCTACAATGCAATTAAATGTGACTTGGTTTTCATGAAAAAATAATATGGGTTACTGGATCCCATATTGAAGCTTATCAAACTACTATACTAGTTAAACTAGCCCAATAATATAAATAATATGTTTTGGGGCTAATTATGGAGTTTTAAGTTAAAGAAGCAACAGTGGGTTATTCAAGTGAAGTAAACACCAACATCACAAACCAATTTTTTTGAAGTGATTGTTTGCGTGAATAAAGGAATAAGTTTTCTTTATCACAAACCCTGTACTTTCTTTGACGCTATTTAAGGTATAATAAGAGTACCCATATACAACAGACGACTTTCACACTATGAAAAACATAAGAAAAGTGACACAAAAGCATATAGTCGTAGATCACAAAGACCCAGAATTAACACTTTGAAAGGAAAAAGGAGCAACAGTAAACATTTGTGTTCATTTTTATTTTTCTGTGTATATGACATTATCAATCATTCCTTCTAGGAAAGGATCTCTATTATTCCCAACGATGAAATAGTCCATATTAGCGCCAGCGAAACTTCTTGTCGTTTGCTCAAACCTAATATAAATCAAAAAAGGAAACACCATAATAGCAAACCAAATTAGTAATATTACAAATAAACTTGAGGGGTGGGTTTGAAGTTGAGGAATTGGGAAAGCAATAGAACAATACAAATTAATACATTTACCGTTCTATTCATAATTTCGCTTCCATCCATATTTCTTAAAGGCAGAATTATATTGTAATGTGATCTCAGATATTAAATCACCTGCAAATGTCAGCATGTTGTATTGCCCGACTAAAATCAAAGGAATCGTGAACATGTTTTGTAGACTTATGTTTTACAACTCTTGAGACATGAGAACTATTAGATAATAGACAATCCATATGCAGCTGGAAAATATAAGAAGCAGTACCAATATGCAGCTCCTCGAGTATAATAATCATGTACCCATCGAATTTAGCATACAACAAAAGAAACAACCGATAATAACAAAAAAGAATGCACAATTCTATTCTTTTTCAGTAACTTCAGAATTCAAAACTAACTAATATTTATAAGAGCAATAACTATAAGTTCTGTTATGTATTGTGTTGTCATATTCCTCCTATTTGCTGCGGAAAAGTCTAATATATGATACTGTTAATAAAAAATCTTATAATAAAGTTTAAATTATTATTTCCTCTAGTCAACCATTAAGTTAATTATTGAGGTATGACATACCCTTTAAGAAGAAAAAATTAAGAGCATATGCAAATTAAAGAGCAAATACACAACAACAACAAATGAAAGTTGTTTTATTATCAAATGTTTTCTTACATTTCTTTTGGTAGAACCTCTGTAGCTAAAACTAAATCATTCTCTATCACATAAATGGTTTATTTAGTGTGTCAAGGAAGTGTTGCCATCTCCTAAGGATCTGCAGTGGAATCTAATAATTCCATAACACTCCATTTAAATTGTTCAAACTGTAGAAGTCCAATGGAAACTATCTAATATATTTTATATTGACGTCGTTACCAATGTCTCACAGAGCGGTAAATATGTGTTCTTCATGGCAGTATTTCACTGTCCATGTAGCATAAGTCAAGTCTTATATCGGATTTATGTAACCGGATTCTATAATTGGTCTTCTTCCGAGTAAAGGCGTGGAGAAGGAAAAGTTATCCCCGCAAATTTGAGATTACATATCTCCAGACACGCAACAAAAATTCAATTTTATTTTATTGTTCGATAACAGAACATATTCTTTAGCTACTTTAAATAAGTTGTTGTACATGGAAAGGCTTCCTAACTTGAATAGTTCACATAGAAGCTTTGTTTTGAAATAAACAACCATATTTTGTCGTTGTAATGCGACACTTTGAGTATAACGCCAACTTAAGTTATAAAGCGTCTATAAACCTAACTTGTCGTTCAATTCTAATCAGTAAGTAGTAATTAAGATTATGAGTGCGTTTATAAACCTAACATGTCGTTCAATTCTAATCAATAAGCAGTAATTAAGAATATGAGTTTGTGACAATCCGTTTAATTTATATAGAGATAAAGTGTGAGTATGACGGTTTAATTAAGTTGAGATCGATACAACAGTTGATAAATTTCAAATCTTGAATCCTCCTTTCACATACCTACTTTTAATAAAGAAATCAACTAACCAACAATAAAGTATGAGAACTGGAGAACGCTATGGAAGCCTAAACTCTACCCTTTTGAAATTTGGTATTTGGGTGAATTTTAAATTTGTTTATTTTTTGGTTAACAAAGATGGATTTTATTTTTTTTGCAAATCCTACGGCTGACTGAATTTGATTGATTTTTGAAAAGTAGGACACTAATTTACTATATTAGAATATCAAGAACAGCAGGAATATGATGTGCGTCTGGGCTAATGAGTTAACAATGGTAGTTTAGATTGGAGGATTGCAAATTTTGGAGAAGAAATTCGAAGGAAATATTACCTGGAATCAGTGGACGCAAGAGAAGGGCAAGCAGATGGAGAATGGAAGTAAGCTGAAGCAGCGGAGAAACCAAAGAGAAATTATATTTTCTACTGAAGACAGATCGATGACAATGAGATTTACCGAAGAAAGATAGATGAGAGCGTGAGACAATACACGCGGCAGAAGCTGAAATCAGGTGGCTTATCTAGGGAAACTGAAATTACTAATTTGCCCTTATTATTAGCCAGGCAGGCATGTCGACCATGACCTGCTTGGTTATTGTCACATATATATATATATATATATATATATATATATATATATAGGCTTAATTCATCACCAGACACTCAAAGTTGTCCGTATAATTCACTTGAACACCTTAATTATGAGATGTACCTATTGAACACTTAGGGGTCGTTTGGTAGAGTGTATTAGAGAAGATAGTGCTTGCATTAGCTTAATGTATTAGTAGTACCTTGTTTGGTACACTTTTCTAACATATGCATAACTAATGCTTGTATTAGTAATACACTCTATTGTGTATTGAAGAGTGTATTACTAATACCATCTATTTCTATGCATTAGTAATGCAATGGGTTCTCATGCATGCATTAACATTATTAAAGACACAATTGCCCTCAAAAACTTTTTTTACATCCTTTCCACTATATTTGTGGAGGGTACTTTTGTAAACAAATATTTTTTCTAAAAAAATTATGTAATGCATAATATTTTTAGTACACCAAACCAAACATTGCATAAAAAGATCTCATCATAACTAATGCAAGCATAACTAATACAAGCGTTACTAATGCAAGCATTACTAATACACTATATTTTGCATTATTTTTATACACTCTACCAAACGACCCCTTAAGGTATTCAAAATAAGTACCTATTAAACACTTTTAGCTGACATGGCTTGAAAAGTGCATTTCACACATATTCAGCGCGTGACCAACAATTTTTAGCTATATTTTTTTTATCTCTTTCTTCTTCTTTCTTCTTTCTTCTTTCACCATAACCAATTTCCACCGCGTCTGCCGGCGCACCACCACAACCATTTCCACTGCGCCCACTGCAGTTATTACCACCACTATCCACCCTTCTCTTTCCTTCTTATATTCAGCCACTTCACATTCTCCCTCACCACTATCATATTCATGTGGAAAGCACTACTATCCTTTACAAAAATTAAAAATTTCTTCTTCACCACCCAAAACATAAACAAGATAAAAAGAAATAAAAATGAGCAATTTCTCCTGAAAAAAAAAATCAAAATCAACTATGGAAGAGAAAAGCCGAAAAGGGATAGAAATAAAGAAATTAAAGAAGGGTTCAATTTAAGGCTGAAAATCTTCACAAAAAGTTCATTAATGGTTGAATTTCCTTGAAATTTCTTTCGAATCTCAGATGAGAAAAGGAAAAAAAAATAAAGAAATTAAAAAAGAATATACAGTTTACTATTTCAGTTTTTTTTCTTTAATAAACATATTTGGATTGATTTTAAGTTGAATTAAGACTTAAGAGACAATGAATGGATGAAAAGCACTTTGAATAGAAAAGGTTGCAAGGTCGACAGCGGGCGGACAGTCGGACATGCCCTTTTCCTTTTTTTTTTCTTTATAAATTTTTAATTATTATTTTAGCTCAAAATGCCACATGTATATCATTAATTCATCAATCTTCCACGTCATCGCGAGTGGGTTACACACATTTTGTACTTTTAACTGATTGTCAAAAAAGTGTTCAAATGGTTTAAATTCGAGTTTGTAGAGGTGTTCAATTGGTATAACGTTAGGTTGAGGTGTTCAAATGAATTATGCGGACAACTTTGAGTGGTTGTGGATGACTTAAGCCATATATGTATATAGTAGATATTAATCGTAGCAAAAATAAATAAATCAAATAACGATGGGATAAGTTAAACATCACTTAGTGAGATGTATATATATATAAATAAGGTATGTTTCATATTTGTCAAATACAATAACATATCATTATATCTAATTTTATAGATATTATTACTCCCTCTATCCCTAATTACTTGTCCACTTTTGAATTGACACACCTATTAAGAAAACACTTATTGACATAGTGAGTTTATCATTTTACCCCTGTTAATTATGAAGTGGATGAATTTAAAACTTAAGGTTTTCAAGAAGTTCTACCTTTTTCAAAGTAATTAATTGAGGGTGCAATAGGTAAATTTTTTTTGTCATTTCTTGATTTGTCAAAATGGACAAGTAATTAGGGACAACTAAAAAAAGGAAAAGTTGACAAGTAATTAGGGACAGAAGGAGTATTAACGTTGTTATATAGTAAAATTAAACCTCACTAAATTAATATC